AGACAGTATTCTGTATACAAAAATGATTGAATTGAGTAACGTTCGTTGACAGTTCATATGTAATGAGAGGACTAGTAATGAGGTTTTTTTTTTGCCTAGAAATAATGTACACACATCCTACATGTACCCAAGTGTACGTTATGTTAGAGTATGCACATAAATAGTCATCTTTCTCTCCCTCCTACTCATCTTTGTCAAGCTCCGACGGAATTTGTATTGGACTCAAATCAATCTTGATCTTTTGTATGATAATCGCTGAAAATTGATTTCCCTTTTTCTATATCCCAAAGCTGTTTCAGAAACACCGGGATTTATATTAGTGTAGACTAGTGCTGCATACCGGTTCACTGGACTTGGATCCGGACTTAAAAAATGTTTAGGTTCAAGTCCAAAAAAACCTAAAAGTCAAGAACCGAGTCCGGACTTATTACCATAAAAGACCATTTCACATACCCCTTTTCTTTTCAAACCACCTAAAACCTTCTGTAGATTGTAAAACCTTTGCTGCAAAATGAAGAAAACATTGCCATCGGGCATCGTCAAGTACCAGCCTCCATGTTATGTCGCCAAAGTTTCACCCAGACAACATTGCAAGGTTGCCAACATGCAATTTCGTATATGCCATGGGTTTAGGTCTGGACTTACAAGTACGGACCTGAACCTAAACCTCTGGACTTGAATCCGGACCTGGACCTGAAATTGGGTTTAGGTATGCATCACTAGTGTAGACCCTAAACATCTTGTAAAATATTTGAAAGTGTTATCATAGTCTCTGAAAAGCTTGATTGAAGTAATTTTCACACATAATCAGACAACAGAGAGAGCGGGTTTGGGTGATGTGGAGTGATTGGAGAAAACCATTGGAGTCTTAGGGGGGCACACCCCAGTTTATTTGGCGTCTCTATTGGAGACTGCACACCCTCAAATCTAGCGACCGTATCTGGCGTGGAATAATTCGGAATGAGAATAACTGTATATTGGACGAAAGGATATCTCTTAAGCTACAAGACCAGCTGAGTTTGGTTTCTTCAACCTTTTTAAGTTTGGTAAAATCAACGGAAAAAACATTTTTTTTCACTCCAAAATTAATGCCCAAAATTGCGAATTTTCGCGTAGGATAATCCCATAGAAAAAAATTTTCCGGCAGAAATGACTGATGCTGGCAGAAAGACCCAAGCCTTGACTATACCCGAGTAAATTATAAAGAAAATTCTAGTACTGTAATTTTCTAAACAGTCCACGGCGCGAGGGGTTGCAAATGCACCCCTACGAGGGCGCAGAGCGAAATCTAGGTCAAACGGGCGGATTACACTTGGCGCGCAAGGAAACCCGGAAGTAAGGTTCGGAGCCAAAAGAAATTTTCACCCCCAAAACACCACTTCCTACACTCTTCAGCCATGTTAATGTTTAATGACACTTCGTGGCAGTTTATGAGAAATGTCACCTCAAACTTGGACCCTCAAAACCTTTCGTTACTTTTTTACAACGGACTATCACGGACCCCGGTCGCGCAAGAACTGGGGTGTGCACCGTTAGGCCACACCAAGTAAATTTTATGGATGACGTCCTTTGGAGAACCTAAATCTAATGCGAGAGGGCGAAAAAAAAACAAGAAGGGCCCTAAAAAACACATGCCTAGATTAGAAATATACTACGAGACGACAAATGTTAGGACACAAATTGAATGAGGTGACACAGTGTAACAAGCAAGAAGTCTTTTATTCTAGCCTGGGTACCATCCTACTTGTATGCCGGGGCTCCCACACTCGCTTCCCTAAGAAGTACGTCTTAGGGAAGCGAGTATGGGAGCCCCGTAATACAAGTAGGATGGTACCCAGGCTACTTTTATTCATCATCAAAACAGCAATAAATCAGGTGGAATAGTGGACAGTGAAAAAATTTCTGTTATTGACAGGATGGTCCTGTCAAAAGTGCAAATTTTCTGTTATTGATATACACTTTCAATATATATCAATAGACACTTTCTTCGCGTTACGGGTTTCACATCAATCTGGTGATTTGCGGCACTGTCGTGACTCTTTGGTCATAGTTACAGGAAGCGGAATTTCTTGGTTTTTTTTTCTAGTAACAGGCCAAAATCAATGCGCGCGCGGTCGTCATCCATAAAATTTACTTGGTGTGGCCTTATCTATCAACTAAACTGAGTCTGAATGTTGGACGTTTTATTATCGGCTATTCCAAGATCAAGGTGTACATTTGGGCCAATTTTTCAAGTTTCAAAATTTTCCACTTTCAGGACAGAAACATGAACTACGCATGATACCATGCATGGTGGCTTTTTAAAATTTTTGGATAGCGATGGGCGGTTTTAAAGTTGCGCTTCTTCAAACTTGAGTGCATTACTTTTTTACAATGGCGCTATACTGTCACCACAGCTCATTTGGCATATAAAAACAAAACTCGTATCCTGCAATGATTTATTTCAAATTTTGAATGACGTTACAGAACTACATGTACTGTAAAAGGAGGGTACCAACTTTGAAAATTACATTGTAATAAAAATGTTATTACACTTACATATTTTGCTTATATATGGTATACAATCTCTACGAACACTACACATCTCTACGGACACTACAATATGGTAATTTATGACTCATTTTGTTTAATGACAACCATTATCAAAGTGTCTTCTGTCATAAGGCCACCATCTTTAAATGTTTCAATTATTGAGCCATTTTGTACTTGACTGCGGACACTACACACACTACACTCGGACAAAAAAAATAGGCAACTGAAAGCCATTTGGTATTTTAACCCAAAGTACAAGCAACATAAAGACACATTTTGTGATACATATAGATATACCATGTATAATATGCAAAATTGCCAGTCCTATCACAATTTTGGGGGGTTCAAGAAGATATTTTGTCATTAAGTGTCAAAAAATGCGTTTGATAACGTGTAATACTAAGGACATACAAAACATTCATAGAAATTTATGAAAGAGAAACATATTTAAACATTGCAAACTTCGAACATCGCAGAGCCATGTGTAAACTTCGCATTAGTGACCACCCCTTTACGTATAGAATCCGGCAGGCATGGCCGTACCCCTCTGAAAGATAGAACGTGCGAATTCTGTAATCATTTATATGTTGAAAACGAGATACACTTTCTACTTGACTGTACATTATATAAAGATGAACGCCAAGAGCTATTCGATACTTTACAATTAGACAAGATATGTAAGAAAATGTCAAAGCAGGACATGTTTAAACACTTGATGTCACATAAGAACGAATTTACAGTAGACAAACTATGTAATTATGTTTCCAAATGTTTCAAAAAGAGAGAAGAAAGGGCAACTAGCAGTAGATGATAGGTAGTATATAGTATTATTGTAATGTATAGATTCCTAGCACTCTGCATTAGAATACAACGTACCAGTATGAAATACTCATGTTTTACATACTGGACATCCTCTTGTGCATTTAGCCCATCTGGGCAAGAACATGCAATAAAGATTCATATCATCATTGTTAACGGCACGGAAAGTTGTCAAATTATCATCTATTCAGCAAAACATAGAAAGAGCCAGTCTTGACATAGTACTCAGTTGTTGATTTCATTTTTTTTTTGGCAGAACCTACCAATAGCTTATTTCAAAAATTGATTATTTTCAAGTGCAAGAAGATAACGTAGATTTTATGGCAACCTTGGGCATAAAGTTGGTCCCAGCGTAATGTTTTGAACAGCTATCTACCAAAAAGCTTCAGGATTATCTTGGGAATACTTGTAATTACAAACAACATAAGAAAGAAAATACAGTGGTATGTGAGACTATATCTACGTCTATCATTATACTACGAGTATTCTACAACATACATGGTACTAGTTTTACTGGGTTTGACTTCTTCTCTTTAAGCAATGGAAGACGAATTTACCCACTTCTTCTATGATATGTGGGTTCTTCCATTTTAGTAGTAGAATTGTTTTTTCGTGGTAGGGAATGGTGTGGAAGTAAGGGAGCATTTTGGACACGGTGCTAAATAATTGTTTCCTGATGTCGTAATAAAATAGACAAGTTAGAGATGAAATGAATTTCGTCTTCCGCTGCATTTGAGGAGCAATATTTACAAATTCTATCCGACACAGGTAGTTTCATATATCACCCTTTTTCGATTTCCAAGGAGTGGGCACTTATTCTAATTTTAATAATAGCGGAGCGCTGCGCGAAGTCACAATGTTCTAGGTATTGTTCTAAACAGTATTCAGTCTTACATTTTCTATAAAATCTCAGTTTACCTGTATCAACAGAAAAACTATGGAAGAAAGTTTGAATGTACATGTCTGAAAGCATTGTCCTTAATACTTTATACGTATGTTGACGATCACAGGTTGTACTATCAATATGCAGTAGGTACAAATATCCACAGTGGTCGAGGATCTCCTTCCCTAGCTGTAAATGTCCGTCTACGACTGTATGAAAGGGGGATTACGTTGTAACAGGAGTGCATCAACTTGCAGAGGGTGTGTATCGGTATTAAGTTGTGTCAAGTGTGTCCAGAGTTTAACAGTACGCAGGGATATATCTAAATCTAACGGGAGTCTTCCTAGTTCTGCTCTAGCTGCTACAATTTCTGTGCACCCCAAGTACATTCTTACAGAAACGGTTATGGGAACTTTCGATTGGTGAGGTTTCATTTACAGGATCTTTTCCCCAGATTTCACACCCATACAGAAGTATTGGGTTAATACAAGCGTCAAATATTCTAAGCAGGGACTTCGGAGAGACAGAAGAACGTTGTAAAGATTTGAGACATTTTAGGGCGCTATGCAGTCCTTTGTCGGACTCGGAAAATAAGACAACGTCGTGTACGTATAAGAGGCACGATACAAATAAGCGATGTAGAGAGGGTGGTGAGCATTCAATATCATCAAGTACAGTAACTAAATCATTTATGAAAATATCAAAAAGCGTCGGGCTGAGATTACACGCTTGTCTAACACCTTTCACAGTTGCAAATACGCTTTAGATAATATGTTTTAAACAGTTCAACAGAATGCAACGACTATTTAGCGAGAATTATATAACAGTGCAGGATGCCATGATCTTGGAATAGATTCATCAATTAGAAGTGCCGGAGCGTCCCGCACTTGCCCTCTTTTTCATCACACACTCTCTCTTTGCCAGATGAATGTGTGGAAATGCATGAATCAGTACTTGAAATATTTCCCATGGAAAGGCAATTAATTGTCACCGGTACGGCGGTACCAGGCTTGTATTAGACAACCATTTGATCTATTGGGGTCAACTGAATGGCATTGTCAGCGGTATTTTCCCCTCCCCCCGCAATATAAAGATGAAAAATACTTACGTTTTGGAGAAACATGAGAGTTATACATTAAAATTTACAGAATTGGGGACAATCTCTCAAATTCCGTCATGGAGCTTTCTGACTTGACCGCTTCTCTACTCATGACAAACATGTGCAACTGCAGCCGCAAGACCAGTGAAGTACAGTGTGAAGCTGTTGTACTAGCAGATTCACCCGCCAGGAGGCGCTATTTCACTTCGAGATCAACATCAACTTCGTCATGTCTTGCTGCATCAGCCACGATACCGATCCACCCTAGGTGTAGATCAGGTCTGTCTAAAACGCAAACCATCACATTTTAGCAATGAAAAAAATGATCAAATTTGCAGTCGTGAATGCGTAACTTGTGAAAATAGTTAAAAACAGTGGATGTCAAATGATATTCTTCTGCCTGCTCGAGCAAGTAGTTATAATTTTTCTCTCCTTCTCCGAAGGACGACGTGCCATCGCTTCGTCCAAGGCTACCAGCTTCGGTAGATTTCGGCAGACTTCGGCCTCCCTCGTCAACTCCCGCCAACTAACATCACCGACGAGAGCCAAGTTCGCCCGTCCGTAGCAAACCAAAGACTCGTTATATAGTTCATGAATAGACTGTTATGTTGTTGTAAAAAGTTTCCAAAATCCCAAAAAAATGAATAGAATAGATGATAAGTTAGATACTGGCGCTAGTGCTAGTGCTAGTAATGTTAGTAATAGTGTTGGGCTAGGTCCCTCACTAAGCGTTACGCGCCCCTCCCCTGCGCAGTCTAACACCGATGTATCGAAATATGCAGAGGAACTGAGCAAAGACCCTACAGTCCTCCGCAGCGCGAACAGCATCAGCAGGCTGTTCAAGGGTGGCTCCAAAAACAACGTCACCACCATTTTTGCGAAAAATCTGATCGAATCCGCCACTGAAGACCTGCAGATTGAAATCGAATCTTGCTCGTCTATGTCTAGCGGCAGTTGTGAGTCTGGTATGGACATGATGGACTCCGTTCTTAACATAACCGGACTCATCCACGCCGAGAAAAACCGCATCAAGGGCGAACGGTCAAGGGAGGATGTCGGCCTCCTCTCGCAGATCGCGAAGTTCAAGCCGGAGTTTCGTGCGACGACCGAGACTCACCAGAGAGAGAGTACTCACGAGCTCGCGCAGAGACGCGACTCTCAGGGACATGACACAATGGCTTACCTGCACAAAGGGTACTCCCTGACTAGGCTCTCAGATCTGAGACAGGGAAAGATCCGAACCGTGACGGGGAAGACACTGCGGATCAAGTGCTCCAAGGAGAACGAAATCCTCCGCCAGAAGATGATCTATAACGCCAGACAGGAGTTGGCCCCTCCGAAAAAGAAGAAGTTCAAAACCGTCGCTAAGGCGGTCGCCTGGACCGTCAGAAATAGGCTGGCGTTCATGAAGGGTGACCAAAAAACCAAGGAACAGGAGGAAGAGGAGAAGCTACAGAAGTTGGCAAAGATCACCGTCACAAACATCATCAAAAACGCCGTCAAGAAGGTTGAGTTAGAGGAGAGGAAGGAGGCCATAAGGGAAGAAAGGCGCCGTCGAGCCAACCGCAGAAAGATCACCAAGACTCCGAACTACTTCGGGGAGCTGGAGGACTTTCCCGACCCGACCCCGTGGGTGCAAAAGTACGACAAGAACCACAACAAGGATAACAAAGCGCTGACGTACCTGGTCCGAGAGATCCAGAGGGACATCAAGGAGAACGAGTTAGGCCCTCCACGACCCGGCCTGGAGCTGCCTTGCACCAACCTCTCCCTGAGGCACTCCAAACACTCCGATCTCAACCTGGCGCGTCATGGGGACGACACTGAGGAGGAGCCGACCATCCTCAGCGGGCGAAAGAATTCCACCATCCACTTCGGAGACATCACAAAGATTGAAGACTCCGACACTTCTGAAGTAAGAGAAGAAGATAAGCTCAGCATCGCCGCTGGAGGAGCGCCTGCTGAGCCGCAAACAGTCAAGTCCGCACTGAAGCCCTCGAAGACAGACATCCCTCGAACTGGGAAAGAGTCGACGAGCAAGCCAGATTATCTTGGCGGGAAATCTGGCAGCTCAAGTGTCACCCGAGAGGCAAAGGGAGCTGGAATGATCGGGCTTTTCCCGGCAACCGATATCCCTTCCAGTAAGAAGTCCCCTAAATCGGGTGGGATCCTCAAGGACGACAAGAAAAAGGGTGTCAAGGGTTCTGTCCAGAAGGGCCAGGGTACCGAGATGTCCCCCGCTCTCACCGATGAGACGCGTACTCAAGCAAGGCAGTCCTCAAGCCAGGACGCAGAAGTCGCCCTCAGCTCGGCCGCTGCAGATGAGCCCGTGCCCATCTGGACGAAGGCGCCCAAGGAGAAAAAGTCGTGGACCTCTCAAGACAAACCACGAGACATGACCGACCCTAGAGTCGACGCTCCTTACATGTTGCGCTCTTTGACCGAAGTCCGGTCAGGTAAAAGCGCAGAAGAAATGGAAGAGCCTCCCCCTGCGCCAAGAAGTTCCGAATGTCTTATCAAGCGCGTGGAAGGCCTGAGTTCTCATCTGGATCGTCCGGAGGGACACCTGACGCAGAACCAGTCGAGAAGATGCCTGCCCAAAGGCAAGCAGGGCTGCCCAAAGAAGGCGCTAGAGTCAGAGCCACGGCCGTGGCAGACTCGGGGGCAGTGGTACCCTACAGTGCGGACGACGGCGTCAGGACAGCCGTTCAAAAAATCACTGTCGCCGTGACAGAAGGGATGATGGCGACGAACCCTCACCTCCGCATTCTGAACCGCGCCGTCTCGATCGTCGACCCTGTGATGCAGGCAACCGAGGCCATGCTCTTCCACCCGACACTTCTAGGAGACCTGATACACCAGGTC